TTTTTTTTTAACGAGAATTCCGCTTTTTCCTCGACTATCCATACGTAAAATTAAACTTTTACGGTATCGTGATTGTATTTTCAAGAAATAACGGTATCGGAATGAGGTTTCATCGACTCAAAATTGTTACATCAGTGCTTCTCGGGATGATGGTTTTATACCTTTATTTGTGGTAATTTTTATTTGTTTCATGCAAGGTAGACGTGAAATACATCGCGCGAGTAAATTGAGTAGAATAAATGATTGTCTGGCAGCGTATTGCCGGTGAAAATATTCGCTGCGTAGAAAAGACAATTTTAGTCACGACGTACGTGTAAAACATGCGCACACACTAACGTAAAAGAAGTACCACTCTGGATATGATCCGTATGAATTTTTTTCCCCCGAGCCGTCGATTCTTTTTTTTTTTTTTTTTTTTTGCTTCTCGTTGTCATCTCTTCGTAATCGGGGTGGAGGGTAGGGAGGCGGAAAAAAAGAAGGACAGTGTTTTACATCCCTCAGGCTGGAATGAAATTTCACTCTTGGATTAACTTACGTGCACGTGCATGATGAGAAACTGGGGGGGAGTTTCCGAGGAAGCTTTGAGTGTTTATAGGTGACAAGAAAAAAAGAAAGATATACCACCGTCTCTGCTACTTATGTTACACAGAGAAACTGTTGAAGGTATTTTTATACAATTTTATGGCTGTGAAATATAATTTTCCTTGCTCGATTTTGAAATGAAAACGAAACATGCTCACGTTTGGATGTTTCAACATAATTGCGTTTTTCCTATCTGAAAAGCTCTTTTTTTTTCTTTTTTTTTTACTAGTGACAGTTTTAACAATTTTTATTGCGTGGCTAGAGCAATCTCTTCTTCGGAAAAGTAAAACCATACGGCAACTTTTTTTACCAAGGTACTTTTTTTTGCAGGTAAGAGAAAGAGAGCGCAAAACTCAGCGGAATATTCATATCAATCACGATGGCACGACGTTACCAGGAAAAATAATAAGAAGAGAAATCTGCTTATATATTTTTCTGTTGGTTAAAACTCAATCACGTACGTCCGTGTCTACTCGTTTGCTTTTTCAGTATTTCCCTTTTTTTTTTTTTTTTTTTTTTTGATTCGTCAGTGTACACATCGTTTTATTGCCTTTTTCCTTGAAAGCTAGTTGAAAGGGGAGCTAGGAAATGTGCGTGAGTGACGGGCAAAACAATAAACGAAACAAAAGCACCTTTAAAAATTCGCCGACTTTTTAGACAAGCATATTTCACGTAAACTATTGTTCGAACGTACAGATGCAAATAGATACATCGTGAGCGAACAAATAAATATATGTTCATGTGTAAAAAAATTATAGCGTGCAGTTTTTTTTGTTTGCAAAGTAAAATTTTCTTCGTAAAAGAATTCAACCAATTACAAGCTAACACCCCACACCAACATCCATAAAGACCGCAACACGAGTGTTTGCCTACCGAACCGCGAACAAGAAGAAAACTTCACCCAGATACATGAACAGCATGTGAAGTGACCGCAAGGCCTATACTTACCCAAAAAAAACACAGATACTTTCCTACTACTCCTCTCGACCCGAGCACATTTCCATTTCAAAATCCAAGCCCAATCTCGCGATAGTGTGGTGTCCCCTGCACAAAAAATCCCGAGCGTCCGATTTAGTAATCAATAAATTCGAGCGTGCACGTACACGTCCAGCCTTGCCGAACCGCAGTCGAGAGGATCAGCATATAAGCGCCCCTGGAAGATCGGGAATATCGAAAACGGTCGTTCAAGCCCCGGCCCCCTCGTCCTCCGTAGCGCGGACACGTAATTGGATGCAGTGGTTCCTGAGCCAGCAGTGGCACAGCCATCATCGGCTGGAGAGCTTACGGAGTGGCTGGTGGCTGCATTTGCGAGCTGTGTGTTATAATATACCAGCCGGCGTCTTATTGCTGTGATAAGCTGCCTCTGGTGGCTTTTCGAGAAATATTTGAAACTCTGTGTAAGGGGGAGGGGGGTCGAATTGATTTTCTCGAGTGTTAAAGCCGAGTCCAATTTTTGGGGATGTTTGCCATGTACATGTTTACGATGAGTTTAAAAGGCAGCCCGTTTGCATCAAGTGCATTTCGCGTTGATCGGATGAATTTTGTCGTCGCGCAAAATTGATGCAGTAGATGATGTCTGACCAAACTCGATTCGTACTACTTGATTTGAAAACTAGGGTTCATCCTATTAACAGTTGAAGTAAATTTTTGAATTTTTTCTGGCATCGGGTTTCAGTCTGAAAAAACCAAAGGTTCATTGCCTTGAGTTATTAAATTTTTGTCACGACAGAGCCGGCGAGGGTACTAGTTTTATTTTTAAGTCCGCGTCGTTGTAAAGAACATACGTACATTACACACCATTACTTCAAACTACACAGTACAAGATCGCGAGGTAGTTCTGCTAACTCCGATCGATCATACATTTTTCAGTGGCAACTATACATTCGTTCATAAAATATGCGCCTCTGGAAACCCATACGCAACCATCGCTCCGTCTTACGGAAGATTATCGAAAATTCGTGCTCCAGATAATTCACGCATCAAACCCGTGACTATGCATAGGTATACTTTAGGTAATCTAGCTTTAAATATCAGTAAAAAAGGGATTCATCTTCCACGATACGTGTACCTAGGCTCCATCCCCTGCCCCCGAAGGAATTTCAACGATTCAGCATCTATACACACGACACGCTTTGATTTCTCGAGTTCTAATGATTCGTGGGAAAACACACAACAAATCATTCCTTAGACTTACTTAACGCTACTTACGACTACATCATCTTCAGATGAAAAAGTCTGATCGAGAAGCTTATCGCGTATTTGGCGATGCGGTGAGAAAACACTGATATGTCAATAACTTTCACACCTCGTCGAACGCGCGTGTGTCGGATACCGACAGAGACGAGCCACGCCGAGCCGCATCGGAATTCGGATCATCGTGTTTCAAATCACTCGCCACCAAAGTACGTAATTTCTGATCCAGCGCGATCCCGCACATCTGTCACTACGATTCACTAAAAAAACAAAAAAACAAAAAAAAACCATCACTCCGCATGCGCCCGCACACAGGGCGCGTGTCCATGGCACTGCGAGGCTGCAAGGGGCGTGGAACATCAGTCCCAAGCCCAGACCTCCTCGTGGAGCCCCGTAGCTTAGCTACCCGCGTAGACGTAGGTGTGCTGGAGGGCGAGCTTGAGGGCAGTGCTGAGGGTCATGAGGGCCGAGCATACGACGATGGAGGGCGAGCTCGCCAAGCTGTGCTGCATCGCCGCGGGATTGTCCCCGTCGAATATGTGGATGACAACGCGGCCGGGCGTCGCGTTGCTCGAGTCGCAGGTGTAGTTGCCCGAGTGCCGGGACGTGGTGCGCGGTACCTCGAGCCAAGATTCCCGGCCTACGAGGTCCGTGCTCACGTTCACCCCGCGCTCGTTGTCGTAGTTCACCATACGCTTGTTGTGGTACCAGAACAGGAAGGACGGCTGCTCCGTCGAGTTCTTCACGACGCAGTGCAGCTGAAGCGTGCTGCCCGGGCGCAGGTAGCGCTCGTCCTTGCCCACTATCTCGGCTCGTGCCTCTGAAAACGAACGCGTGATTATCGTAAAACTCACGTTACTACAATTTCATAAATACTTGTAAGTCATTATTTCGAAAGGGAATAAATGGCACATGACAGACAAGGAAGTGGAATTTGTTTTTCTTTCGTTGAGTACTAATTCAAGAGGTGCAGGGTACTCAAGAGGCTGAACCCCATTCTTCAGAGTATTCGTCGGTACCGTTTAATTGTACTTCAATATGTTATAATTTTTTTTTTTTTTTTTTTTATGTCTACTATCGAAAATGACTAATGCTGACTTTACCATTTTGCATAATTTGATAAAGAAACTGGGCCAAAGCGATTCCTGCTTCGAAAGCATCAGCTCAGCTGTCCTTGTGGGGTTTTCATAGCTCTTGAAAAATTGAATCGGATATCAGTTTTCAGCTGCCATAGAAACAACGAAAGCCCCGTAGACGTATAAAAAAAGTCCGAAACACGAGGAAATAGATAGTAACGGAGAACGGCCATACGGGGTGGGGTGGGGGCACGTTTAGGTGCAGTAACCCAAGCACAGCTTAGCTCCCATTATTTTATCCGATATCCGGCTTCGCAGTTTGAAGCCAAGGGTTTATTGGTCTCCAGCTGAAATAGCTAGAAGACACACGAGGACTGTTGGGACAGTTTAGGGGTGAGCGCGCGTTAGAAGAAGCAGAATGGGCAAAGGGGAGCTAAAGCTTTTTCCTTCCCCTCACCCGAGAACTTCTTTTCCAGCACGGCGTTTCTTGATTCATGAATAATGGACGAATACAGCTTTTATTTGAGATGAAAGAAAAAAAAAAAAAAAATGAGGGGCAGGGGGAGAAGTGTTGCGCGTTTGGAGAAATTAAATAAGATCGAGAGCGCGCGCTCGTGTGGGTTAGAGCTTTAGCTCGCTCGAGCCGTTTCTTATTGCGTTTTAAGGCGACCCTCTCCCACCCCACCGTTAATGCGATTTTCGAAAGTCCCGCGCGTGTCAGCAACAAATTAATTTCTTTGTCGGGATACAATTCCACCCTAAGCAGGAAAATCCTCAACTTAACTGGAACAAGGTTTCGTAGCGTTGGATTTTTTTTTTTTTTTTTTTTTTCACCCGATAATTTCATACGCACCCATTGGATCACCAACTGATTTCGAGCACATCAGCCACTTCCCAATCGTCGAACCGCCCTGGGAACTTATTTTCTGGATAAAAAAAAGGTCATTCAGCAGGAGGTGCCTCAACTTTCTTAATGAAACGCTACCCCGAGAGGAGAGTAGCACAGCGCACGGCCAACTTCTCTGTTCCCGCGCGCTCGCAAAGTTTTCCCACCGCCGGAATAACATTAGTAAAACTACAAAGATATAGTGCGTGTAGTCGGGGGTACACGCGCGTCTGCAAACCCCTTCATCAATAGCTGGCTCTGTCAGCTTTTGGAAACGCAGAGGGTGGGAGGAAAAAAAAGGCTTGGATTTGTTTGTCGGTCGAGGACTTCTGAAGAGGGGGGGATGCAAATTAAAATAATTTGCAAGTCGGGCTGAGATTCTCCCCCTTGAAATCATATAATGGGCGATGAATATGCATCTACGAGCTCCGACGCACTCGTCTCTCCCTCTCCACTTTTGGTACCTGCACCGCGGATGGATGTGTGCGTTTCGGGGGGTCGTGGGGTAACCAAAACCCACGTCAAAATATTTTTTCGCCCTCCAAACGCCAATAGTTTGATCAAACTGTTTGGAGCCAACCACACGTATCAAAGAAATCGAACGAGCCACGGGTGGGGTGTGTGAAATCCAAACAAAGCTCGAGTGGGCTTATCGACCGATATTTACTTTGGAAGTCGTCGAAAACTTGGGCAACACGCGTTCCAAATGACCGATAACAGTAGTCAATTATTTTCACCCTGAATAATACATATACATTATACCTTGCGAGGGACATTGAAAGCCCAAAGGACCCACGGTTCGGTTTAATCGCAGCGATGCCGGGGCCAAAGCGTGAATCGCCGTGTGTTTACGCACGGATGCGACGGGGATATCTCTCCGGTACCGGAAGCATTGCAGTGGAGCGCGCTGGTGAGTAAATTTGCAGTCCAGCGCGTATGTTTACGCGAACATGTGTACGTCGGGAGGACGCAAAAGTGGGGCACTTTGGGTCGCATTCTCCTTGGGTGTGCACACACACACGGGTACCTTGTCGAGGGGGGTAGGTGGGTGCACGCAGTTGCGCAATTTCTTGAGCAAATCACCGGATCCTTCCATCCACCCTTCTGTCGAAATTTCGGCTGAGGCCAGCATCTGCCGCTACTTCTCCTGCTCGTGGCTCGAGCTTGTATCAATACGGTACGTATTTAGCGAGGGGAAATTGCAGGTATAAAACATTCAGGGGAGCGTAAAGAATGTAACGAGCAAACTTCCGTTGGTGCACACGCGCGAGCTCTCGCTATTGGCTTAAATTCCATTGGTGGGAGCGAGGATCGTTGGTTTGTTTTATTTTTCAGCGGAGCTGTACCTGCGGAAATTTCGTAGCATTTTTTCTTTTTCATCAGAGCTTTCAGTTCGACCGAGCGTTCAAATATACAGATTCCGTACGTTATCGCTTTTCGGGGGAATTTTTTAGTTTCTGGCCTCAAAGCGTTTCGTCCCGAATGGGTTATCCCTCTGTTAATTTTCAAACCTTTTGCTCTCGGTCGGAGGAGCCGAGTGCCCCGAGTACCAAAAACTCCATTAAATATTCTCTTTTCTAAAAGTCAAATGCCATCTCTTCGCCCCGTACAACACTTTGTACCGCAAGCCAACTTATCTCGGTCGCGAAATAGCGTCTGGAAACTCTTGGTAGAGCATCGGCTGAAACGAAGGGAAAAAAGAAGAAAAAAAAACAGACGAACCACTTCTCGCTGAAAAATTCAACCTGCCAATTGTGAGTTTCTCCTTTATCATGTAAAAATCCCTCGAAGAATTAAGGTTACCAAAACCGATCGTGCGCACGTGTGTGCATCGATGGAAAATCCCTCCCCCGGAGGGCAGGAGAAAGAAAAGTTCGACCGGATGCAAGAATAATAAAAGCAAGCAACAAGCCGCGAATGGAAAACTTTTGCATTACCGGAGACGCGCTCCAGGGGGGGTACACCCCAACAGGCGGTGCTGCAAATAAAAAAAAAGAGTCAAACAATCGGGTGACTGGAATGAAAAAAAAAAAAAAAAAAAAAAAAAGGGAATAAACAGGGGGATGAACCCATCGTGTCTCTCCAAGAACCTCCGGGGATCGGCTGTCTGTGGACCTTCTTTCGCGAAACGTTGTCCCTGATGAATAAGAAAAGCACGTGTACGTGTATCACCGTGAACGAGAGCACNAAAAAAAGATCAGGGTGAGGGTGGAAGACCTGTCGGTGGAATTAAAATAAGTTACGCCCTCTCCTGGAAAGCGGCCGGTGTTCCACTTGCATTGTTTTCGCGAGGGACGGGGCAAACCATTCAGCAGCTCGGTCCTCAAAGTGTGTATACGTACTCCGTGTGGGTACGTCCAGAGGAAGGATGCAGCCCCTCCACTTCGGATCGGTCGTAGCTATACCTGCACGCTGCTATAGAGGTGGCCGGGTAGCCTAGCGAGGGGGTGATGCTTTCGCTCGATGCTGCGTTTGGTATTACTTATTCTCGCCACGCTCGGCTAACCTACTTCTCTGTTTTTCCACACGGGCTTTATTAATATTTTTTTTTCTCGCTCTTTTTGTTTTTTAATCCACAAGAAAAAAAATACAAACCCAACAACTATCAAGCGTATTGCAAATCTTAAACGAAAATGCAACGCCTCTACCGTCGGCTTGTTTGTCTCGAGAGCGATTTCGCCGATTTTTTTTCTTTCAACAAGTGGTTTGATTTCGTTGAGCTAACCAGCAGGAAACAATCGATGCTTAGAGCTTACCAACCATACGAGCAAACGAGAACCCAATTATGACACCGTAAATGAGAAACAGGAGATTTGGAACTTGGAAGGATTGTGGGACAACTATTTCCCGACCAAAAAAACAAACAAAAAACTGGTCTAAACTAATGGTCAAAAAAACCAGAAACGTCCATCACGCAAACCCTTATAAAACCGTCGATAAACGCGAGAGAGAATGGGAGGAGGAAGAGAGAGGGAGAGAGGAAGGGGGTCGTCCTAGGGAGGCTCGTTAAATAAATGATCGATCGAAATGAAACGAGCGGTTGAGGGGGAGGAGGGGCTCTGCACGCCCTCGACGCTGCTCTCTATGAATTAAACCAAAACTTCGCAATTAATTCAGCCCCCGAGCTTACACTCGCGCACTTCATTTGCAGAAAGAGCATCGAACCGGAATCATTATTAACAAGGCCGTCGGACTCTAATCGTGAGGATTAAGAACCCACCCACCTCATCCTCCTCCTCCTGCTCGTGCACGTCTATAATTTAATGAAAGTCCACGAGGCCCTTGATGTCAATATCGAACCATACGCTGTACCCCCCCCCCCTCCCACTCGGGTGGAGCTCATACTGGCCGGATCTCTATATATCTATATGCGTATGCCTACGGACGTGGTCGATTTAATGCGACCGTAAACAGCTGGTACTGCAGACATGCTCGAGCGCGGGCATCCTAATTGACTTATAAATGTGTAAACGCGCCCGTGAGAGCGAGGAAGAAATGTAGTTTCTCACAGGAATCTCAAAAATGGCACGGGTCTCGAGTGAAAAACTACACGTATAGGTATGGAGGTTTCAAACGAAAGCGTGGGTGGAAAAGTAACGGGAGTGGTGAGCTTTTCAAAGTAAACTCTGGATACGCTGGTGTGACTCCCCGCCTTTGCGTATACTGTTTGAATCCCTCTTTTATTTATTCCTCCTCTGCGCGTAGGTGAGAGTGGAAAAGGCACGACCAGAAAGAAAAAAAAAAAAAATGTTTTCCCCTTTTTTCGTCATTTTTAATCAACTTTTGCGCAGGTGCACGTTACACGCGTCGCACAGGTAGAAAAAGAACATACGCTTGGCCGAGTTTTCTCGCCTCAGC